TCACAACTCAAAAAAGGAGACATATGTCTACAGAGACAGACTCCATAGTAAGTACAGTCTAATGCATCACATACCAACATCTGTTTGGGTTTTATTGCAAAAGGAAGAAAGCTAAATGAGAAACTTCTTTTTTGTGCAACACAGAAAAATTTGAGAAAAAAATTGGGAAAGTAATTATTTACAACAAAAGCAGAGATTCATTCAAAAGCTTCTAGCTTGTTATTTCCCAATGTAAAGTTTGCTCTGTTTTCTTTGTTTACAATCTGAAACACCTGCAATGTTTGTTTGAAGTGAGTCACTTTCTGTGTCTTCACAGCAGGAACAGCACAAGGCACAAGCAATCTGTGAAAAATGCCTCCTATGAGCTCTGCTTTGAATTGACTGACTTCCTCCTCCTTTAACAAGCAATTGTTTTCCCAATTTTCTATAGCCATATGCTGCTCTAGAAATATACATCTGCTTTCTTAGTAACAAAATTACAAAGCCAGATAGGCTTCAGTAACTTCTGAACAGTAAACTCCTCAAAACCATTAAACCTACTGTAGCATCTTGGTGTCTTGGAACAAGAAACTTAATCACAGAAGCAAGAAACTAACATACTGCCCATCATACATGCACCTGGAAGCAGAATAACTTCAGCTTTGTTAGGTATATGAATTAGACAAAACATTTCATTTAGTACAGCGATGCACAAAACTTGTTCCCATAGTTATCCAAAAGAGAAGGCACCATTAACACCATTTGACAAGCTAAACTTGATGATCCTTATGGGTCCCCTCCAACTTCGGATATTCTATGATTTTATAATATAAGGCCTTTCATTACTGTTTGCTGGCATAATCTTTCTAAGGAGAACAGAAGGGAAATTGCTACTCAGATGTAAGTAGGGAAGAGGCTGGTGCAGCTCAGACAGGAACGCCTGTCCTAACCCTTTGTAACGCTGACTCCCCTTGGTCAGTCTGTGCCTAATGAGATCAACAGCTGAAGAGCACTGAGGTGAAGCACTGCTGTTCAGGCACCAGCAAGAAGGAAATGCAGAAAGGAAGCAGAAGTGGGAAGGTAAGAACTGGAGAACTGTGAATGTGTGAGGGAAGATCACACCCTGCAAGCGCTGCCTGGTTAAACTGAGCCTTCCTTCTGATCTTGTCAAGTTCATACAATGATATGCTCCTCCAACACTGCAACATATTCTATTTCTGAACATTTACTAAACCAAAACCAAATAAAGAAAAGGCAAAATGGACTTAAATCTAGGCTGCTATTTGTAAACTCATTTCATCATCTGCAGATGAAAGCCACTAAGAGCTTTACTCCTTCTACCCTTCCCTGACAAGAGATCACAGGCCTCAGCTTTCCGAGCCCACAGAGCTAAAGGATGTTATTTTCAGCTCATGAATGAGAGAATGACACAAAGATAACCTTCTAGGAAAAGCATCGGGTTTTCCTTTCATCAGCACTCATCCCTTCCTTTCCCAGTGCTGGATCAACAGCACTGCACTGCACCAGCACCAACGGACCTCCACAAAGCTGCCATAGCAGAGCAAGCCATAGTAATATGAACATACAGAAGAAAACATACAGTATTAATTACAGTAAATATCAGCCATAATTACAGAAGGCCAAATTCAGCAGTGAACTACAAACCACACCTCCTGAAATGAGAGATAAGTGAGGACTTCCCGATATGCTATCTAGACTCAAAGGATGATTTTGCTTGATGACTGCACTCAGTCACAAGTTTTGCTGTAATGCTGTCAAGTATTTGACAAACCCTATAAATACTTTGACAATAAATGCTGCTATTGGAGGTGAAAGTATTCAGAGAGATATGGCACAGAAACCCAAAGAAAGACTGGCTTTCTGAAATGCAGCATTGCTTTACAACGCCCAAGTTAGAATTAACATTACAAATCTACTCATCCTGAGTTTTACGTATGGAAAATATGAAACAGAGTTTATTTTATTATTATCATAAGCTGACACACTCACATTTCTTAGCATTTGTCACCCACTAACACTACAATTTTTTTTTTTAAACACAGTAATGCAAACAACAGGCAGCTTCTACATGACGAATTAAGTGTTCTTTTGCTATGACAAGTGCATGCACATGCATGGGATCTTTGTAACAAACAGTTATTTTCAAGGGATATTAAACAGATGGGAAGATAGGAATTTCCAAAACTTATGGCACGCAGATGACTTTTACAGCAGAAGTAGATATGTAAACTGATTCATAACAAAAGTGTTTAAGTATTTTGTTTTTTAAAACCTAAGTTCAGATTCAGGAAGAGACGATGAACAAAGTCCTGCTTTACTAGTGTAAATGTCAATAATTCTGTATACTTACAGTGAAGTAGTCAAAATTCAGCACCACTGTGCTCCACATAACCTCATACATCCAAGCACTGAAAGCAAACACTGAACAATATGAAATACAGCAGGCTTTATGAAATAAAGAGTAATGCAAAACATAATTTGGCCCACCTATCAGCAGGTGACCTAAGAATCATAATTAAAATCTCCTCACACACATACTAAAATTTGTGAGGGCTTTTGCCAACCAGTGGAAGCCAAGCGTTTTTTTGCTGTTACTGATGAGATCAAGCTTGATTATAAGCTACACAGCGAGCGGATTGTAACCATAGTGATTCCTTTTTCTTTTTCTCCAAAAGGTAAGAACCTGGGGGGACTACATTGGCAAGTGCACACATTTCTTTGAAGTCAAAAATAAATCTTTTGAATAGACACATGGCCCTAGAATTTCTCACTGTTGTTCCAGTTTCTGTTAAGCCATATCATCTCACTCTTCACATATTTAGAATACACTGAGGATCAAGTATTCTAGCTTGGCTGTAAGAAGCACAGTACAGCAGCAGAGAAGTCAGAAATGCTAACTTACAGCTACTTCTGCTAAGCTGAAAGCTGTTGGGAGAAAAGAACAACTGAAATGCCATCAATCATCAGGATTATTTATTTCACATTCATCTGTTTAGAGCTCCTAAAGATTATTACAACAGCTAGGTGAAGTAAGCTAGCTGAAGTGCTCCAAAAATCTGCTTTTCAGCACAAGCTGTTGTCATTACAGCTGCCCAAAACAGAGAACAGTAAAGCTGCTGCTGTAACTCTTCGCAAGCCTGTGAGTCCCTCAGCAGCACTGTAAAATGCAGCACAGGAGCCAGAGTGTTTGCCAAGGCCTGCTGCTGGCAGGAGGGTCAGACAGCTCACCCTTTCACACTACACACATGCCCTGCTGGTGCCTTCAATCCTGCCATGTGGTAGGTGGCTCAGGGGCTTAAAGAAGCCCCTCAAAGACTGCACAGGACAGCTTGTGTTGAGATGAACAGAGACAACAGTGACTCAGGAGCATTTACCCACTCTTCTCCTTTAACAAAAAGCACATTTTCCTCTAGTTCAGCCCCTAAAACCATGGAAAGCACCTAAGGGGCTTCTCCTGGGCGCTGTGAGAGAACAGCAGCAATATGGAACACAACTCAGAAACCTCCCATTCTTTAGGATCTTGCTGGCACCTGTTGGCTTCTTCTCACATATGCAGAGGTTTGAGAATACAGAAACCACTTCAGTATCTGAAAACACTACACAAACAGCTTGTCAGCCACATGGCGATCCCTGCCGATATTGCTGTACCCCTTAATCTAATTCCATTTAATCCAATTTACTGTCTTAAAGTGCTCTGGCACTTAACGCAAGAACTTCATTCAGGATTAGTGATAAAACACAGCTCTCAGCCCAATGGTCTCATTCACTGTCAAAGTAACATCCAAAGCTCTGCCTATCCAGGCAGATGTCTGCAGGATCACTGTAAATGCAGCACACTGTCAACAGATTCCACTAAAAAAACAGAAGGAAAAAAAAAGAAAAACTTACAGAATTTGACAATCTAAGATGTAAACATCATCAGTGTTTTCCTTCTTTTAGTAAGGAAAGTCAAGGAGTTACGGCTGTGCACAGCCCTACGCACGGAATGAGGAGTTTCAGACATTCATGCAGACAGTCACACAGTGACTGCTTTACCTGAAATAAATTATGTGCTGCAGAAGCTGGGAGGTTTGCTAGCCAGCACTTATCACAAAATGGAATCAAATCATTAACATCTCTGGCATGTGACAGGAAGAGGGAAACGTATTTCCAAGAAGGGATTCTTGTTGCAGACTTGTTCATATGATTCCTCCCCTGAATAGCAGTAGAGTAACCACTACATTAATCTTCCTGAATGTTGCAGCCATGTTCCACCACTGCTCCTGCTACTTAAAGAGCACAAGGTAAGTATTGTTAGCTTTCTTTACCGCATGATTGAATTAACGAATGGTATGTGTACTCAATATATCCCAGTCTTTCAATATGGGATTTGTGTACCAAGCCAGTCATTGCAACTGTTGAAGCCACAATGAAATATCACGCGTTTTTAACTAACATAGCAACCAGGCTGGCATGGTTTCGAGAATAAACCATTTATAGATGTGAATCAGTCAACTCTTACAAGAGAGCTTCAGATAAAACAGAACTACACCTTAAAAAAAAGAAAGAAAGAAAGAAAGATGCCTACCTTCTAAATATATCCTTCAAATTTTATATCTTTTGCCATTTTTGGACTACAGGGCACCCTGCACATTTGATGCCTAAAAAGTAAGGAGTGACTTTCCATGCCAAATTCTATGCTCACTCATTTATGTGTTGAAATAACTTAAGTATAAATTCTCCCATTTATAACACCACCTCAGGAAAGTAACAAGGAAAACCAACAAACGGCAGGTTTGATTTCTCTCCATCTCACATTAAGGACTTTGTTCATCAAACTCATAGGAATGATCCCAGATTAAATCAAAGGACTATGCATACGTATGCTGCAGCATTTTCTAAGGAATTTATGAATGGAGATTTTTTCAAGTGAGATCATTAGTACTGTATAGTCAAAAACAACAAAAGCTGTGTACAAAGTGATAAAACGCCAGACATTAATGCCATTAAATAAGACTTACCAGACCATCACAATTGCTAATTGCAACAGAAGCTCCAGGGATGTCAGTTATGTCTCCCACGTAAGCACAGTTGGTCCACAGGGGCTCTCTTTTCCACAACCTCTCTGTAGCAGTTCTAGTCTGACTTGAGTTACCAGCACCATTTCCACTTCCAGTTTCCACAGAGTCTTCGTACCACTCCACTACTGCCTCAGGAGCCACTAAACGAGTGTTGGGTTTCAGCCGGAGATGGAATTCCCTTCCAAACGCGGTGACATTAAAATACAGCTGTTTGGGGCTCTGGGATACCTCCCGTGTTGATCTTCTTTGATGGCTTGCAGAGAGTATATTGGAGATATAGCTTCCATCTGCATCGGTACTAATTGGAATCACTAACCCATACGGTCTTGGTCTGCTTTTTGGTAATTCTGCCAAGAGAAATATCCCAAAACAAAATAAAATTAGAACATGAGTGTGGAAGAAAACCTTAAGACTGAAGAACAGATGCAGAACTACAGAAGTGTGTGTCCCTGGAAGAAAAAGTAATGCAAGGATGCAGCCGGCTACTGGCCTGACCATCATGGGCTACATTCACGCACAGAATGCTCCAGCTGCACCCCTGCACCCAGTTTGTTATACAACACACAACTACCGTGCCTGCAGTCCTAACATCAAATTCAAATTCAAATGTAATGCTGGACCCCTCTGCCTCTCATCTCCACTGCTGGTATTCCCAGTTTAGGATTCCTGTTAGAGTTGCTCTAAACCACTCCGCAGATGAGTTCTGCTGAAGAACAGCAACAACTTGTGTAAGTTTTTATAACGACGAGGGACAAAGTCACTGCACCAATACGTACCAAATTATCTGACAGTCAGTTAGTATGGATAGAAGTCATAACCAAATGTAGGATATGCATCACTGCTCTTTACTGTACTCAAAACTTACAGACCTTTACCTTACAGCAAGGCCTTAAGTACTCTTACCACATCAACTGTTCTCAGAAACAAGGTTTGTAGTATTATCACGTGAACATACATAGGGCACGTTAGAAAGAAGTGTCTTTACAGATCATCATGTTATGCAAACCGTAACAAACCAGAGATAAAGAGATGGGAAACACATTTCAGCTATAGGAAAAGCACACACCATGCCAAGGTGCATGAACACAAGAAGCTGTGCCCAGGTATGCACCTCAAATAAACACACACCACAGATGCTGGGATGCACATTAAGAGCATGCAAAATATCCTCCTTGTGCCAAATTTTTCAAGAAGCAGGTCTTTCATGACTCTATTTTCATAAAGCTTGCAGAGCAAACCCTGAAATATTCATTTATATTTATCTGGGGAGTTCCCTGGGGTTTAGGTTTGCTTGATAGCCAAAGAAGAGGCAGCAACCCTTCCGAACTCTCCTGTAAGAAATGCCAAATGTGTCATGCACCTTAAACAGAATTGTTTGCTCCTGTGTCAAGGTCTAAATAGAGTGTGACTTTACTTGCGAAAATCAAGTGATGTGTTTGGTATGTAACTACAATTTAGATACTAATTTCAAATTTTTTCTGCAGTTTCAAAAAACAGAAAAAACAAGAATCCAGTGGATATCACATCACTGATAGTAGCATAAGCAACAGCTTTTCCCTCTGCAGGAGGGAAAAACCTAATAAATCCTCTCACCCATTAACTTGCTGATGCCTTTCCTCTTAGCAGAACTTGAATAATGGAACTCTAAGGTAACAGATTAGCTGCTTCTTCCTACGCTACAGATTTCCATCTGAATCTTGCATCTTCCTGCAGTACAACTGCAGTCATAACAACTGCAGAACAACCATTGTTGATCATATTGCCCGAAGCAGGCATGCCCAACTCACAGCCCACAGGCTGCATGCAGCTCAGCACAGTCCCAGCTGAGCACCCATTGCTCAGCACCAGCCAAACAGCAGTGAGCTATTAAGTGTATATAGATTGAAACAAGGGCATGGGGCACAGCTGACTTAAGTTACAGCAAATATTTGTATGCATTATGATAGATGGCCTAAAAACAGTCCTGTGCACAGCAAAAAACACGCAACACTGCTTTCCATTCTCATAAAGGAATTTGAGAATAGGTTTCAAGAGTGCTGGAAAAAAAAAATGCATTTTTTGGTATATTTGCAATTCTGTTTAAAGTTAATATAAATAAATTACCTACACATTTTCAAATGGAGTGTATAGATTTGCAATCAGACATTCCCATGGGTCAAATCAGGATGCTGCCTAACCAGCAGTAGCAACATCAGCTGACTTGTAAAATTCCCACTAGGTTCTGAATTTGCCTGTGTGAATGCAACACTTGAGAAATAAATAAATAAAGGCCCCTTTCTATCTTTCTGTGTAGTCACTTACCTGGAAGCTCTGAAAATAGCGTTCTTAGCCCTAGATAACAATTACTTGCCCTCTCCACTCTTTGATACTATTAGACACTGATGAGAAAAGCAAGACTTTCGCTCAGAGAAAGGTTTTCTGCTGTTATGGCTCATCACATTCAGCCCTTCATCATGACACATGCACACCTTAAGGTACACCACTGTAGAACAAGTTCATCTTTTCTGCAAGACTTTTGCAACCTGGGAGTAATCAGGATATTCCGTGTCTGATTTCCATCCTGTAAAAGGAGAAGGAGACACATTCCCAGGCCAGGACACTGCTAAGAAGTGCACCAACTCTGAAGTCTTATTACCTATATGACAGTTAAAAAGACATTAAGGACAGAATTACTCCCTAGTTCTTCTCCTGAGAGAACTGGCTAAAGTACTATTAGAGTGATATTACTGATCCTTTCAATTTAAAGGCCTCCTGGGTTGAGTAGTTCAGATGGCAACACTAAGTGCCAATGAGAATTCCTCAAATAAATATAATTAAACGAAAAATTTTACCCATTCTCAAGGTGAATCACACTTGAACTGAAAATTTATACGTTGATAAAAAGCTCGGTAGCTAATGCCTTTTTCCTGGAAGCAGCGGCTGCTTGTTTTACAAGACTTGCAAATTCAACTAATAAATTTGGTAGGAAAACATTACTAAGGGCTTCATACAGCTGCTTTTTCTCCAGCTTGCATTTATTCCAGTTGCTGAGGGATTTGACTGAAAAATAATGCATAGCAGTAGTAGAAGACAGAATGACATTTAAGTTTTTGCACTATAAATATCTTCATGTAACGCATAGATGCTGTCCAGGCTGGATGGGGCCCTGAACAACCTCATCTAGCTGGAGGCACGTGGAACAAATGGGCTTTGATGTCCCTTCCAATCCAATTCTATGAACTGACATACATCTACTCAACAAACTGTTAGGTACTATATCCTAGAGAAGCAAAAAGTGAAAAGTTCCTTAGAATTTTTATCAATCTGAAAACTTAATCCATGTCCCACCACTACTAGTAACTGTGCTTCTCAATAGTCTTTTTCACCATACACCTACAAGTTCAGGTTCTAAAAAAAAATTAGTATAGAGCTTTATAGAAACAGACATCATGCCAAGAGCAGGATCTGGAGTTTCTGGGTAGGATTAGGGCATCCTAACTGGGTCAAAGCAAAAATCTTGATTCTCACATGAGTCAACAGTGGGATTGAGTGCACCCTCAGCAGGTTTGCAGATGACATCAAGCTGTGTACTGCAGTTGACATGCCCAAGGGATGGCATGCCATTAGGAGAGACCCAGACGGGCTCAAACAGTGGGCTCAGGTAAACCTGATGAGGTTCAAAGCCAACATCTTGCACCCGGGTTGTGGAAACCCCTACTATCCCTACAAGCTGGGGCATGTAAAAATGCAGCACAGACCGGTCAAAAAGGACTTGGAGGTACTGGTAAATGGCAAGCTGGACATGAGCCACTTATGTGCCCTCACAGTCCAGAAAGCCATCCATATCCTGGGCTACATCAAAAAATACACGGCCAGCAGGTCAAGCAAGGTGATCGTGCCCTTCTACTCTGTCAGTGAGACCTCATCTGGAGTACTGTGTCTAGATGCAGAGTCCTCAGCACAGGAGAGATGTGGACCTGTTGAGAGTGCCTCCAAAGAAAAGCCACAAAAATGAGTCCAGGGTTGGAATGTCCCCTATATAAGAACAGGCTGAGAGTGCTGAGGCTGCTCAGCCTGGAGAAGAGAAGGCTCTGGGAAGGCCTGAGAGCAGGCTTTCAGTATCTAAAGAGGGGTTAGAAGAAAATAACAGACTCTTTATGGCAGTCTGTTGTGATAGGGAAGGGGAAATGGTTTCAAACTAAAAGAGGGAAGATTTAGACTGGATATAAGCAAAAAGGTAGTGAAGCACCAGCACAGGTTGCCTGAAGAGGTGTTGGATGCTCTGTTCCTGGAAATACTCAAGGTCAGGTTGGACAGGGCTAATAGCAACCTGATATAGTTATAGGTGTCCCTGTTCCCTACAGGAGAGTTGAACCAGATGACTTTTAAGGGTCCTTTCCAATTTAAATGATTCTATGATCTCCATGACTCCCTAAGCTTCAGTGATGAAAATTCACAGACTTATAGTCTTCCTTTTACCTCACAGACACTTCATGGCCTTTCTTTTCTTTCCTTCTTAAAGCAGGCTGTACAATGCCAGAGACCACAGTTTCAGTGATCAAATTCTGTGTTCCCTGCACAATTCAGAAATTGCTTTGTACATCCTGCAGCAGAATTCCTAAATTCCTTCTTGTGAGTGCAATAAAAAAAAGTTATTTTTGTTAAGAACAAGAATAGCCAACTAGCCACAAGAAGGTAAGCATAAACGATGGAAAATAAGAATTGTCACATTTTTGAGTCAGCAAAAGCCCTTCCAGAGTCTCTAAGTAGTGAGCTAGAAGAGGAAATGCCTTTTGTCCAAAGGTAATTAAAATTAAGTGACATAACTGAGGACATCTAAACTCCTCCACTGACTTCTATTACCCCTTTTCCACAGCTCTTAGGAAACACTATGCCAGCCGTAGGTATTCCCTTTCTTATTCTAAAATTCCAGAGTCATTCTTTTCTGCTAATTCAGAGCTTTCAGTAATGACCACAGAAGAACACAGAGAAACAGAAAAAGCACTTAGCCTCAAATTTTCTTCATTTTTGCATCTGGCTTTGAACTGCTGTTCCAGTTGCACAACATTTAAGTTGAAAGGAAACATTTGTGAAAGAATATCACATTCTTTCACTGCATGCCAAAACATAATTAGTTAGAGAATGCCTCTGCAAAAGTCTTATCTCTAATTTTTTTTTCTTCCCAGATACACATGAAACTGAAGAATTAACACCACTGGCTCACAGTCGTTGTCTCTGCACTGTGAAACGTGTGACAATTGAAGCCCTAAGCCTTTTTTATTATTAGTTAAAATCAACAGCATTTAGGAGAGCTTATATGTATATATTTAAAATAGAGCGATCAAAAATTGTTCATTTGGATGCCAACAGTACAATTTGAAAATCATAAAAATTCTTTTAGGGAACAAGATTTCAAAAGCAGAGTATAAACCAGAATCAGCAAAAACAGCAGAAAGGCAGGAATTTCTGAAAATACATGAAAAATTATTTCCATGCCTCGACCAAGCTACACAAATTTGAAGACATTACTTTTTTCTTAGGAAATATTTAAGTGCCGTTTAGTGTTCATTATCCTGGTGGGATTTTTGCTAACACAGTATGTATAAGGGCTGCTCCAAGAGTAATGCCTCCTATTTTATTCTATTGGCCCACATCAGAGGCAGGTGTTGGAGGTATAGCAGCATAAGTTGAACCTTTCCACCAGTACTTCATTACATGCTGTTGCTGTGTGACAGATGGCAGCAGAGGGGCAGCGTGACAGAATGGCATCTGACACTGAAGTGCACATGCAGCAAAGGGGTAACACTGAATTCCTCCACATCAAAACAATGGCATCCACTGCCATTCACTGACACTTGCTGAATGTTGATGGAGACCAACCAGTGGCTGTGGGCACAGAATGGCAGTGTGTGGTGCATTCAGCAGTGGCAACAGTGCAGTGAAAGACAAGCCACACTCCAGGCAGTCATGCACCACTGCCACAGCACGAAATGAACAGCATCTCAATCAGCTCATCCACACTAATTGGTGGATTGTGACCAGGGAACTGCGCACTGCACCGAATATTGGTTTCAGTGCATTGGAAATGATGGTGGCAATGTCAGAATACCACAAAGTTTGCTGCAGATGGGTCCCACAGATGCTCACACGGAGCAGAAAGAACAACGTATGCAGGTTTACCAGGACCAACTGAACCAACACGGGGTGGAGGCGACAGTTCCCTCAACCACATCATTACCGGTGATGAGACATGGAGGCATGCAGGTTCTTGCTGATTGCCTACAGAAGACACAGAGCTAATGGTGGTGACTATGTTGAAAAATACTGTTTTGCAGCAGACAATTTGCTCTATCAAATAACACTGTTGTGCTGTTCGCATATATTCTAATTTTCATGAAAATAAGTAAGAAGTAATACTTTCAAAGCAACATGAATTTTTCTATAACTAGACCTCCCACGTTCCAGTCTTCTGCACTGCAGACAGAGTACCACTAGCCCCAGAGAAAGTAATTTTTCATCACAGGAGCTCCTTCACCCTTTACAGTGACCTGCAAAATCACATTCACTAAGTGCTGGCATCACAATTTCTTTCCAATTCCGTGGCAATGAGATGTGAATTAACTCCTACATGCAGTAACCATTTGCCTCAATAGATTGCTGGCATATATACTCTAATTAGGAATACCCATGTGTAAACCTACAGAATTATATATCAGCACGACTGTTTTTACAAAGATGATGCTATGCTGGGCAACGTGCAAAGAAAGAAGTAGGCAGGCACTGGGCTGCCTGTCCAAGGCAGGGTGGATTTCTAGAGAATTTCCACAGAACTTTGCACCTAAGCAGGGAGGAGGCTGTGCAGCATACCTCAGTGCTAGATACTGCAAGTTGGATGAATAAAAACAAGGGGCTGCAGGAATACAGGCTCACAAGTATACATATATATATAGACACACCTCTCTTCAGTGTCCTCATTCCTTTACATCACTGGCAATTTGTCCCAGGCACATAAGAAACCCAAGAAACTTTGTGATGTTTCCACAGCCCCTCTTGAACTGCAAAGTCACCTTGCATAACACTGGTGAGCTTGTTTTATCCAGGCTCTGTAGCAGCCCAATGCTGCTCTTCCCAAGTTAAATATCAGACCTTTCTGCCAGTAGCAGCATAAAATGCTGATGTTCTGCTGTGTAGATGCTGAGAGACACGAAAAGTGAAGATGTAGCACCACCCTGAGTGCCAGTAAATTCAGGCCAGTAAATTCACAAGCAACAGCATGATTTCCTCTTTGCAGTTTCCAGGTTTTGCAGCATATTATGCATTGAAGTGGTTAATTAAGATACAGTAAGTCCCTATCTATATAATACATTCTGTACTAGTAGTAAAAAAAAAAAATCCAATACGCTTTAATTTGTCCTAAGTGACTTTCGAGACTACAAAAAAAAAAAAAAAAAAAAAGATTAGCTGCTGACAGCAGCCAGCCCTGGGCCAAATCAAAATACACAACACCAATGCAAAGTGACACTTAATAAGGACTTAAAAGTAGGACAGCCCATTTGGAGGCAATCCTAATGCAAGTTTTACTATAGTTATTAAAGCTCTAAACTGAATAGGCAGTACCTTTTCCAATCAGAATTTACAGGATAAAACATTACTTGAAATATTAACAGTTTAAAAAACAGAAAGGACAAATCTAATCTGTGTTTACCAGGTATTTTTTCATTTGAAAATACAGACTTCCCCTCAGTGAAATACTAGAAATCCCTCAAAAGCCAGAGCTTAGCACAGACAACCTGGTTTGGTCAGACAGCTAACTCTCAGTCTTGCCAGGCCGAACAAAATACCACCAGGACACCATGCATATGTGCCAAGGAGACACAAGCTCGCTTTTGCCAGGCACCAACCAACACCGCGTCTCACACCAAGGGGCCAAGTGCTGCTGAACGACACGAAGGGACACAGCACACATGGTCCTGTGAGTAGACAGAACCATCAGCTCACACCCTGCCCATCTCCACCTAAGACCATAGAAAAATATGAGTTAGAAGGGACCCTTAAAGGTCCCCCAGTCCAACTCTCCTGCGAGGAACAAGGACAACTATGGGTACGCCTGGTTGCTCAGGGCTTGGTCCGGCCTGATCCTGAATATCTCCAAGGATGGGGCACCCACCACATCTCTGGCAACCTATTCCAATGCTTCGCTCCCTTAATCGCTAACAGCTGGGCTACAAGCCACATAGAGAGCCTTCCACATGGGCCACCCAGCCCCATCCTGGGAGGCTTTGTTTAGGGGCCTTCATTCACCTTCTGCTGTGTGTTCACCTCTCTCCTATGGATCCTGCATGCCTCAAACCCTCCCTGGCTACACCAACATTGAGACCTCAAAAGAAAGAAAAAACTGAAAGGAAAAAGAGTTCTCCTCCAGGCTCAAGAAATTGTCTGACATATTGTATAATTTAAATGATGCATTCATGTATAGCTTATAGCTTCTGAAATTGAAATACAATCCATTTCTCAAGGAAACAACCAGAAATAAAGCACTGAAATGCCATTGGAAAAAAGAAGTCTGTTTGCCAGCTAGGTTTAAATGTACCTAACTGTCTCAAATCCCATTATTCACTGATGACAGTGGAAATCAACCTAAGCCTTTAAGTATGCAGTGCCAGAACTGAAACTGACACAAGAGCTCCAAAATTTAAAGAAATACCAGAAACTATTTTCTGAACAAAACTGCATGTCAAAACCTGAACAAAACCTCACAAATCAGAACTCTAATGGCAACTGGAAACAGAACTGCATAGGGTCCCTAGAACTGCACAGGTGCTACTGCTCCTTACTGAACAGATCCAGAGCACCATAAGGGCAATTATGCTCAACAGCAACTGTGGTCAGCTGGTTCCAGTGCTGCCCTCAAAACCACAGGGCAGGGGACATGGCAGTCTCACACTGATGCTCTGGAAAGAGGACACTGACTTTTACATCCTTCCACCGTCTCTTCCACCCCACCTGGCACTAAATTATCTGTCAGCTTAAATCAGTGCAGAGCTACAGCAACTAGATTGTGCACACATGCTCCTAATTATATGAAGCTTCCCATCTCTTTTAGGAAAAAATCAGGCTTCAGATTGCAGCATGGCATACCCTGGTTCATTTCAGCACCCTCATTCATCATGGACACTGATCTTGCCGCGCTATACTTTCTGATGTGGGCGTATCAGTTCATAACACAGCAGTAAAAACCCACTGGGCATGCAGCATCTTTCCATAAAGGAAATAGGTGGAGATATCAACATTAGAGAAGAAAAGGCTGCATTAGAATAAAAGATTGAGCACTTTCAGGACAGAAGGAAAGTGGTATGAAGATACGACTTTCCGTGGCTAACTCCTTGGTTCAGTAATGCACAAATGAACACAAAGCATTTGACCCAGCACAGATTTGCCGTGACATCCATAGGGCTGGTTAAAGTATGCTGCAGCTTTGAACTTTTGTTTTTTCATTTTTAAAAAGGGATGTACAGAGTTAATGGGATGAAAGAGCTTGAAATGAGAGGCCATGCAAATCCAAGTCATGCCACAGCACTGTGAAACCACAAATGCTTCTGGGTGGTAACAGTGTGGACGGACACAGGGGAACGCTTGCCTAGGCAAAGACCATTTTTCCAGAAAATAAACTAGTTTGTTGTTACTTTTTTGACAGCTGAAATAACAGTTAAAGAAACTTACCTATTTGGACCTGTTGTTCTTCACCAGCCTGCAGAAGAGAAAAGAAACACATGCACAGAGTGTAACTGGTGTAATTACTATGCAACATGCAACAGTCGACTGTTTCTAGAAGGCTGAACAATCCCAGTTTGCATCGCACCACTTTTTACATCTTTGCTTTTGGATTCCAGGGTTGGCATTTTCCCTTAGCTGAACAAACAGCTGTATCCGGCAAAGAACTAAGAGAGCCCTTAGTAAGTTTAATATAAATAGAGGAGCTAGGAAATCCTCATTCAGAACGACCCCTTCTATCTATCGGGACACACGGAAAGCAAAGAGTCTGGTGCCCAAAGAAAGGCCGTCGGGTGGGTGCGAGTGACCAGGCGCTGAGCCGCAGGGAGCACGGGGCGGCCGGCTCCTCGCCGCTCTGCCACGGCGCAGAGACGAGGCGGCAGGCGGAGGTCAGCAGCCACCAGCGCGGGGCCGGGGCTGCACTACACCCAGCGGGCGAACTCCGCAGCTCCGCCACCTTCCCGGCCGAGACGGGGGACCCTGAGGGAGGGAAAGAAGGAAGGGGAGCGCCGGAGCCGCCGGGCCGGTCGCTCTCTCTCTCGCTCACTCACCTGCCGGCCGGCTGCAGCGCGGGCCCCCAGGAGCGCGGCTGCCACTAGCCACAGGGGCAGGAGCACCATCACGAGCCGGCCGCCCGCGTACCGCCGCCCCGCGCGACCGCACGCTCCCGGCCCCGGCCGCGCTCTTCCTCCCCTCCTCCTTTCGCCTTCTTCTCCGGCTCTCTTTCCTTTCGAGCCCCCGCCTCGGCCGTCCCCGGGCTGCAGCACCCCGCTAGCGCCGGCGCCCCGGGGCCGGCGGCCGGGCGGGCTGGGCGCAGGCGGCGGTGGGGCGGCGAGCGACCGCGCCGCCTCCTGTTGCTCGCTGCGCCCTGCCTGCGCCACGCATCGCGACCTGCGGCGCTAATAAAGCCGCACCGGCCCCCGGGCGCGGCCCCGCCTTCGGCACGGCTCGGCACACCGACGTCAGGGCCGCCCCGCCGCCAGCGGCCGCCGGCAGCCGGAGCCGCACCTGGGCCGGCCCGGGGCTCGGCCGCCCGCTCACAAAGGACGCGGCCCGAGCGGCCCGCCGAGGGGAGCCGGCGCGGGGCAGGTGCAGCACGAGCCCCCGGCAGCGCCCCAACGGCTGACGGGGCCGCAGCCTCGCGCCACAAAGAGCCGCGTCCCGGCCCGGGTGGAAACCCTAACCCCCTGCCAGCGGCCTTCCCCGCGCAAATCCCGCCGGGAGCTCTCCTGTCCCGTACGTTCGCCTAGCAGACGTGACGCCGTTAAGGCTCAGCAATGAGCAGCTGCGAACAGGCACGAGCGGGGGTATCCCCAAGGGGAGAAGCGAGCGAAAACTTTACAGATGCTTTTTATTTGTAAACAAATATCCAGGGGGATAAAGTGCTCCCACATTTCTGCACTGCAGCAGTACTCAAAAAGATGACTGAATTTCCCCGGGATGAGGATATCCCGTGGAACCTGACATGCTTAATGCAGAAACATCCAAACTGAAATCCCACTGTTCTGTTGGACATTCTGTATACAATCTCCTACTTTCTGCGCTCATGTGAAGCTGCCTTGAGCGGCTTAAATGAGCCACGGTTGGCCTTCACCTAGCACAAACAAGCAGACCATTGCTACCCAGAAGCTTTCAGAACAAATGCTTGAAAGCCTGTCCATACTCAAAGAATCACAAAAACATTAGGGTTGGAACCCCTGAAGACCACATCCAATCCACCATCCGCACTGGCCACATCCCTCAGTGCCACATCTCCACAGTTCTTGAACTTTTCCAGGGATGGTGACTGCACCACCTCCCCGCACAGCCCATGCCACTGCATCACCACTTTCAGTGGAACTGTTTGTCAGAAACCATCACCTCAAAATGAAAAAGAAAATATTGGTTCTTCTAAAGCCAAGTTGCCCCACTGCAGAATTTGAGAGAGCTGCAGCCTCAGTGTACGGCAAAGTCCTGACTATGTAAATCATGGCCCTGAACTCCCACCAGCTTGTCTCATAATGGAGGAAAAAAACTCTAAGAAAGCAGAAATGCCTGACTCTAATACCCGTTATTACTGGGATCATTTCTGCACACACAATACATAACACAGTACATAACAGCCTGTTCCAACCAGCATGCTGTAACACTGGGCAGTGGCATGATGCACATGAGCCAATTTTTGGAAAGGCTAGAATCAGAAGAGCTGAGGTCCTGTAAAGGCTAACTACATAATTATACGTTAAAACTGCCAGTTGTAATTGTCAGTTAAGAAATGCCAGCTGACACTATCTTTCCCCTGCTTCTGAACTGAGGCACTGACTGCAGTCACTTGATAACACACCATTCTTCTCACAGACTCTTTCCTCATGCAGTGCTCAGAACACATGCCGTCAGCTATTCATGTTTTACTTCCCCTCATGACGTTCATTATGTGATCTCAGGCCTTATTTACTGTATGTTATTCAAATCCTGAGAACCACAGTGTTGATTTCCTTGAGGGTTTATCTGCAGCACATCATACCAGAATTTGTTTTCTGCAGCAAAGAACCAACAGTATTCTGCACTTAGGCAGTGCTTCACACAAGCTAACTACAGGCACAATTCATGACTTGGTCTCTCTTTCTCACATTTAATATAGCACTCCCAAGTTCCACACCAGGCTCTTCCTTATTTCCCCCTGTTCTCCAGGCACTGGATGGGCACAGCAAGTAGCCAAGTGCAGAACACAGCAACACAATGCACACCAAGAACCAAACCTCATGCATTCTGTGATCATAACCACAGTCTTCCAATAAAGCTGTGTTAGGTCCTAGGTGGCTTCACTTTTCCAGTTAGCTAAAAACATACAAAAGACAGATCTGGAGGCCAGGGCAGATATTCTGTTCTGCAGTTTTTGAAAACAAAGAACCAAGGCTTGGCAGAAGTATAACAAAGCAGTAATAAAAAATGACATGTCTCATCAGCCACCTCCAATATGAAACAAGACTGAATATCACAGACTGAATTTTCAAGTACTGTCTTCATATGTTAAAGACATTTTTCATTGCTAACAGCCCAGTTTGGATGTGCCATCATCAAAGCAATCAGATTTTCTCATGTATACTTTGTCTGATATATATACATTTACATATGTAAGTGTATATATATGTATTTGTTAAAAACCTGCTAACTATTTGCAACTCTAAAATTATTCTTTCCAACACTACATCAGATAAGCTTTCTACATCTGTGCAGTTTCTGTGGATGCTCTAAGCTGACAGCTACAAATATTTTATGAACTTGAGGTTAGGCCCTGAAGCAAAGAGACACTGAAGTATAAAAGGTTTTGCACGGGGCCGGGTTCCATAGAGTGAAGAGTGCAGCAGTATTTAAATAGCATGAACAATATTTATGGGAGCTAGCACTCAGTATTGCAAGTTAGATGTGACATTACCTGGTTCAAAGGGCTCAGGGACATGGTTTCTGCGAAGTCTCAATTTTTCTCACAGCAGAAGAGCCTGCAACAAAACAATTTCAAAGGAAGTACTAATTGGAACAAGAATTCAGAGAAATGCTAAAGAAAAATATTCCCTACACAAAACTGATAAATTAACTGGAGTTTTTTTTTTTCTCTTATTCAACATCAGTTTCCAAATATTAACATATTTTGAAACAAGCCAGTAGTAAACTTGACTACAACATCCATGAATAAATCCATAGTCTAGTCAAATCATATATCCTCACCAATCATGTGTGCAGATGTTGTTTAATACAAATTTTTGCAGTGATGTTTCCTGATACTTAGAAATAAAGTTTTTCTCCCACATTATAATTTATTGACTTCCTAACTTACAGTGTTCTTTGCCAGTCTGCAATTTCACGACCTTCCTCAGAAGCAGCCAATTTGGAATGCACTAATTCTATTCTCTCTGAGATAGACACATCACTAAAAATTAGCCAGGGGTAAAACAAGCTGCACTGGGCCATGGAGGACATCTTTGTTGAACATGAGTTATTGCAGGCTGGATCAGAAAAAGGCACAAAGCCAGAGAAGGTAGTTACAGATGCACTTACCTTCTTGGCCACCTAGTGCAAACTTAAGATCAACATCCCTTGCGCAATGCTTGGACTTACTCTTTTTAGCCTCACTGTTAAAAACAGAGTTTGTACTTCACGTCTAGATCCCAGCTGTGCTGAAATTCAGCTCTGCTGTCAAAGTCTAATTTCTTCTAAGGATCAAAACATCGGGAATAGGATTCTCATTTTCTATGAGGCATGTCCTGATCTATGTGTAACCAGTGGGCATGGTCCTCAGCCTGGCAGTGAAATGGGAGAGTGGGACTGTGCTGTTATGGCAGCAAAGTGCCTGTGCATACATTTTTCCAACCTAAGCGCAACACCAAGCCGGCCAAGCTTTCAGTCTGCTAACAGACTGCTTAACGAAAAGTAGAACTTAGCTTTAATTTTTCAAGTTAGAGATGCAGGAGGCCTACAGCACAACCAACACAAGGCAATACAAATCAGTTTCTTAGCACAGGATACATCTGAAAAGTCTGTGTCTCATTTTTAAAATTCGTTACTATTTGCATTTCAGTAATGCCTCAGGTCCTATTCATGGGCTGGAGTCCCATTGTAGCAGGCATTGTGAGTGTACACAATAAAAAGGCCATGCACAAAGGCCTTTCAGTCTACGGGCTGTAGTCGTACTACTGCATGAAATACAAACCCCAAAAGTCCGGACACACAAGAACCAAATGTTATGTTCTTAACTGGGAACCCATCTCCTGCCGCATGTTTCTGCAATTAGTTGTTGAGCAGCAAGGTCACAGCTGCAGCATCTTTTCTGCCCTGCCAGCAATTTGTCAGTGTCATTCAGATAACGAAGGTGCCATGAGTGGCTCTGGACCTTGCCGCTACCAAAGTACAGGAATGCTTGACATTAATATCCAGAAGACTGCCTCCTCTCTGCCTCCTCAATATGACAGCTCTCATTATGCAGCCCACAGTTTCATACCATTTTTTGCTGAGATGCCACGTTCAATGTTACAGCCTATTTTACCATCCAGTCACTTCTGTGCTTAGGTTTCCAAAACTGCACAAAAAACTTTTTTGGATATTACACTTTTTATCTGTTTACCACAGAAATATAAGAAAGAGATTTCAGTCGGGGTGTCAGACAAGAATTACCAGACAGCCCTTGAAATAAAAGCACTTTATAAATGAAAATGGCTATAATTTCTCCTTCATGGTGCATTAAAATTGGGAATATTAAACCATGCGACTACATTTAATTGTTTTAAAGACACTATTAATCTAGCAGATCATTAAATGAAGAAACATAGTAGACCTATTATTTCTAACAAAGCAGTGTAAGATTTATGGCCAAACTTTAACCACAGTACATAGGAAACTGGAGAGAAAAATGTGAGACATGAAAATTACAGTTGTAAAATACGTTATGAAAAATAAAGTAGTACTAGAAATATAAGAGGCAGTACTTGTGACAACTTTGTATAATAGATAAATTCCATAGAGCTGTTCTTATTTTAAGGTGGTTAATTTTGAAATGATGCGTGCCAAACAAAATTCAATTAAAACTACCTCAAATTCTCAAAAGAAATGAATAAACAAATGCCCATAAATCATTCTAAAAATAAGCTCCAGTAAGACCACACTTTCAATATTCTGTGGTACTGATACAGAAACCAGCGGTTCTTGTGTTGCAAGAGTTTCCTGGAAGTGCTGAGGCAGCGACCCTCACATGCAGCACAGACCCTGATAGGGCCAAAAGCCCATTAAATGCTTCTCCCTACGCCCTCAGAAGAAAATACAGATGGAAAATAGTGCACCGTCTTGTATGGTTGGTGCACTTAATATGTGGTTTGCACACGCTCTGCCTTAAAACCTATGCATAAGGGATTTATTTAAGTTATACCTATGTACTGGAGGTACAGAAACTTGTGTGCTATCCATGCTTATTTTTATTAGCATTTTTCTGGTTCTAGAAGTTCTGATTTACACTTTTATACCTACGCTCCTTCTGGAATGCGAGATGCTGTGCAATCTCATTGCACATACAGATACATACATGATGCTCGTGCTCCTCTCGCTACTAGCAATCAATAAGGTATCTGTTCTTGGTGAAGAAGAAAGATACTCATACTACGCTGCTAGGTCACTGACTGTAGATTCTCATTTTCAGACACTTTTTATTTATCATTTGCGCACATCAGTGCAATTTCTTCAATCAGTGCTAAAGCACATGCTGCATACATTTAATTTATGGCAGGTTAGACAAGCTGTTGGTTCTCAACAAAGGTACTGTAAAGCCTTTCAATAAAGGCCATGCCCTTCATCAAGCCACTAGACTCACAAGCAATGCCCATAAAGCAATGAGATTAAGCTAATATGAGCCAGAGCAACATCTTGCCCTACTGCATGTTCACCTCCCATTGGCTTCACCAACTTGACAGTCTTTCTTCATAATTTATCAGTAAGTGCTTTGTTTTAGTCACATCCTTATAGAAAATTTTTGGGGAGGATGATGGCTGCACGGAGAGGAAGTGAATAATTTTGATTCCAATTCCTTTTCTAACACTGAGCGCTTACACATTATGTTATCTTTCAGAAACATAATAAGAATCAACTATCTTGGCTTCTCACTCTAAAAACAGAAGTGACAGAAATAAAAAATGAAATGTAAGAAATAACAATATCCTGTTTGAAGATTGTTCCTAAAGCAAGCCACTGAGAACATCTGATTCAGCTCCAATTTGAAGCTGTTTGCTCCAAAGTGTTACGATGTTATCTTCCTACCTTACTGAACACTGCAAGTCGATTGTGTCTGCAGTTTTTGTTATTTCCATGTCCTTGATTCCATTACAAAAGTTCATTCTGTGTCCTAGGAATAAAAACAACAGCTTGAGGATGGTTGCCAGTAGTGTCTCCTTTTGTAAGCATTGTAACAATGACTGCAGTTGGGACCCAAGAGACACTACTGTTCCTATAAACTGCCAATGCCTCAAAGGGCATTTTAACTAGGACCATGTGAAGTTGTAAGCTATCTCCCACCCTCCAACCATCAGCTTTACGTCATAGTGTGTTAGCGCTTCTAAAGAAAAGAGGCAAGCAGTTTATGCTGCTATCTTTGTATTGAATACATTTTGCATTTCAGTTGTTCTTTCCCAAATTAAAAGAAAACTAGAATAATTTAAGCTCTGTGTCAATTTTAACTCTCTTCTATTAATTGTCCCCATGGTTGGGATGAACAACTATAATTCAAGGCAAAAAGTAACCTTTGTGGAGATGCAACATGCCAAGGACTCATCTAGAGTGAATGCAGTACTGCATGCAGTTCTGGGAGGGCTCCTGGAACTCGGAAGGGCTCGCACATTGTCAGATATCTGTCCACTCGCTGCATGGTGGCGGTGTTGTGTCACTGACACCTGGACTGGTATGAAAGTCTTTAACTGTGTACTTGGGACAAAATCAGCTTTCTCATCACATGCTTTAAATGCTTAAGGTTACTTTCCATTAAAGAACCGCCCACTTCTTTCCTATCTTCAATAGGTATGAGCCATGTTACTGCAGATGCATATATCATCCATCTCAACAAGGTCATACAGAAATTACTCTCATCTGTGAAACATACTGAAACTTTGATTCCTCAGAAGGAAAAACTGAAATAATAAGGAATTAAAATTTCCTTCAGCCTAGTATCACATCTAAAGCACTCGCCTATGTCATCACGCATATTCAAGTCAGTATACATGAGAAAAAAGCTGAACTGGGATTATGTGATAAAGAGTATGCAAAATAAAAGAACTGTCACTATGGATACGATGGCAGAAGTGGAATGGACATTGTTATTCTGGACAATCCCAGTTCTAGATGGAAGCAGGAAAGTTTTCTGGTGCAAATAAGTGTGATAGAACCACAGGACAAAATACTTGCAATAAATCTAATGGATATTGACCTATTCAATATGTTTCACATACAAGAACAAAGCATGGATCAAAATTGCATCAAAAGCAAAAATGAGAAGGAAGTTCTCAGTTGTTAGCACATCTGGTCACTCCTAGCAGCCATATTTAGGCACAAATTAGAAGCAGCACATAAGAGTAAGTGCTTAAGTAAATACTGTCAGCATAGGAGAGACTTCTGTATTACTATAGGAAGATGCATCCAAGAAGCTTAAATGCTAGTGTTATTTCAAGATAAATATATATTGCATAGATACACCTACGTAGTTCACTTCCTTGTTAACTCTTTTAACGGTCAGAAGACACTAAGTCCCATTTTTAATTGCACATCTGACTAAATTGGAAATAATCAATTTTTAATTAGAGAGCCTCACATGCAATTATAATGCCACTAATATCTCCTAGATGTTGTTACTTAAGAGTGTGCTAGAATTACTGAAGTTTAGTTATCTTGGACCTTGGAGAGCTTTACTTTTCAATTTGCGTTGGGGACAATTCTTTTCAAAGCTTATTTTTCTGGAATTATCATAATTGGGAAATGGAATGAGTGTTCATAAGTACTGCTTAGCAGTCCTTTTGTACTAGTAGCAGGCCTTAAGCCAGAAGTACTGCCTATACTGCTGGATGATTTCTTTTCATTTTTTTTGCCCTTGTAATAGGATAAGAAAATGCTGCTTTGCATGTGGAGTGTTCCATCCATGCTGCTTCTGTGCCAGTTTACACATTGGACTATGTGTGTTATGTAGATACTCTTACTCTTACACTGCATTAGATACATATTTTATCTAAATAGACAGATCATACACAAAATCACTGAATTCTAGTACATATTCTGCAGTGCACATTGACCCCAGTGCACAAGGCAGGCTAGCACAGGCAGGATTTTCAAAGACTTTGAAAGAGGTTTGACCTAAGGCTCATTTAAATGCCATACTCAGTTAGTATTCAGGCCATCAGGACAGAGACACCCAGCTTCCTTATGCCTTCCTGAAAATCCCAGCCACGAGCTTCCATTTCTTACACTGTGTAAACAGATCATTCAAATTCACCTCCGTCTCTCTGAACTTCACTCCTCCACTTTGTGAGGATCCATCTGTTTTAGGAAATCATCTAAACCACAACAGACAATTCCAAACACAGTTTTAAAACCAGGAGCTTAAATGAAAATGAGAACTGATCTTCTGACCTTATCTAGGGTCATTTTACCACGTCAAGGCTGAGGTTATTTCCAGGGCAGTGTACGAGAGCTTTCACTACAGCTGCTTGAATAGTACTTTGCCTGTGGATTAATGATGAGTTAGGCTTCTTGTTCTCACCAGCCTTTATGATTCAGGAGAACACACAGAGGATTTCTTCTGAAACAGATGAATTAAAAAGACAAAAGTAAGCTAACCTCCTGACCTGTAAAATAACCTTTGTAGAGAAATCCATTCAACGTAGTTGCTCACTGTTTCTGGGGAAAGAAAGAGAAGCCGTTTGCAAGAGGAAGCATTAACTTGTATACGGTTTGAGAGGGGAAACAACCACAGCAACCTGTTTATCATGAATTTACATGGGGTAGAGGAGAGAGTATATATCCAATAAGGATCTAGCTGTGACTGAGTGATGTAAGCAAGGACGTAGCAGATTTAAAGCAAAAGACTTACATTGTTCTTACTGGTATGTAAACTAGTGAAACACTCAAGTGAAATAGAGAAGCAGCTTTTTTTTTTAGAAGATAAACCCTTCATCAGGTGTTCTGTTTTCAAGTATTTGAAATTGTAACTATTTATTTTCATCACATTTTATTCGTATGTTTATTCACTTAAGGATTTCTACAATTACAGCAAATTACAAGCTCAAGGGAAACTCTCTCTTTCTGGGTTCCTAAGGAATACAGAGCTTCATGCAAAACTTAATTTTCTGAACCTCAAGACTCTTCTAAGAGGCGTCACGACAAAGCAACACAAAATCCTATACACTGATGGTGATGCAATTCAACACACAGACACAGAAAACAACATAAGAATGGTCAAACACACCAGACCAAAAATCCACCTAGCCCAGTATTTTGCCTCTGTGAGTGGCCAATAGCCAAGGAAGACTGAAAAAATGGAGCAAGACTATATAGAGAATGCTTTTTCAACTGCAAGGCTGAGGAACAGCAGTGGAAAAAAGAGAGTAGAGATTCTCAAACAGCCTCACAAGCCCACTTGAAAAACACCCTATTTGTTCCTTGTTGCTCTATTGGAAGAGACACTTGCTATCACTGTTGTTTCATAGGTTTCATTCTACACTCAACTACCGGAACTTTGAATTCAGCACAGGAGAAAGGGAATTCAATGTGCTAGGCACAGTAAATGTAAACGTAGCTCTAATGTCAGAAGCTGTCTTCTAATTCCCACTGTGGAAGCACAGTGCTCAGTCAGAGGCAAGTCAGTAGCTCATGTGCAAAGCATATTCCCTAGCTTAGAATATTCCTCAATTTCTAGGCAACTTTAGAATGCTCAATTTCTAGGCAACTTTTAGCAGAAGTTTCAATTGCATGTGCCAAAGAGGAAGGAGAGAAGGAGGGAGAGGGAGGTCTCTAGCAGATGGGACTGCATACAAACACATATGTTCAGCTTCAAGTACATAAATCCCAGTGCACTTAAATTAGACTACATTGTAGGCTTGCATTCGAATGTGTGACTGTTTGCCATCACCTTAGCATTCTCCAGAGCTGTGCTACTGCAGAAAGTCTACAACATCAGTGTTTAATTTCTCTCATGTTTTCCAGGAAATTCTCAGGACAGCATGGAATAGCTGAATATTGTTATCTGCAATGAAAACTAAAACACTATATAGTGTGTTAAGACTGTTCTGAGTTGCTTTCATTTAAATTGCTGTCTATGTGCAATAAATTACAGGATAGCATGTGAAAATTCAGGTAAGGTTAGTAGTGTAGTTATGTATGGGTGTACACATATACACATGAGAATACATGGAAAAAAATATGTATTAACATAGACACTCCTAATTAGTTATTGTTTATTTCCTGACCATTAGTTAAGACTATCAGTGTTTATGGCATAGAACACAGTGGACATGCATATACGCATACAGTATTTTCACAAGAAGAATAGGTAAAATAATTCTTAAAAGCTAAGCTTTAAATTTCAAGGGTGAAAAGTTCACCTCTAATAAAACTCTAAGGCTGCAACAAGACAGTGAACAATATTCATTCCAGGCAGAAATTCAGCTCACATTGATACAGAGGGAGAAAGTCATTCTTGTAACTCTTTCATCATCAAATCCAGATATCACAAAACAAGCACTCTGCCTTTAGTCAAGTAACGCCATTAGAATTTGAGGCATCCTTCTCAAATCATCTTTGTGCTGTACACAGGCTTATGCAAGCTTGATTTCATTCTCTTTCTGGATTTTTAAAGTGTGGCACACTCCTTTCCTTACAATAGCTACATGGAAAAGGACAAAAAATTACTTACTCAATTTATGTGTTTCTGCACATTTATTCAGTTTGGAATACTTGCTTTTATTGGCCTCTGGTTAGAGGAAATGCCCTATAGCACTCTGTGTCTCAGCGATATACAACACAATAAAAAATGGCTGAACATCTGAAGACCAAGAAAGCTCTCAGGTCTACTGATGGCCAGTAGATTTCTAATGGGACGTAATTCTATTAAGATCAGCCTAACTAAGGGATATCAATCTCTCCTCTTTCCATCTTTTTTTTTTTTTCTTCCCCAAACAGCATTCAGAGAGCAGGAATTGATTACAAAGTCTGGGAGAATTACTGTACAGAGGAATACCAGGAGATGAAAGCTAACACCTGTTGCTAAAACACAAAAACCTTGCTGGATTTGCCATAAAATTCCATTCAGCTTTTTTAAGTATTTCACAGATGAAATCACAGTACTTTTTGCAACTTCTAAACAGTGCACAACTTTCACCTGATGCCAAAGGCCTGTACATTAGGCTTACTATTATTAGACTTTATCTGCATTTCTTCCTCGCAGTTCCATTTCATTGCAGCCTAAGTTCAAATAGCTAGTACAGTGACTAGAAACAAGAGATCTCACTTCTAAATGTAGCTCTAATGTCAGAAGCTGTCTTCTAATGTTATTATTTCTCCACTCTGATGAGGGAGTCTGAGAGAAATAGGAGAGAAGAATGGGAAGAGAGGCAATTGCCCAAGCACTGGAACTAATCAAGCCCGATTTCCTGCAGGTTCGCATCACATGCTTGCTTGTGAGTACTGACTGCAGCTTTTCCTTTCACTGGAAATGGAGAAAGGCTCTATCTTAAGGCAGATCTCTCAGTGCAATAACATGTGAACTCACACAGCAGTTTCTCCTTTATACTGTGTCATACTTTCAAACTTCATTCACTCTGAGACCTGTATGGATTTATTAGATTCAATTGAGTTCAGCCAACGAATTTAAAAATTGTGGAGGAATATGAATAAGTGTGAGCTCAAAAGGAGATGAAATTTTTTGCATTTTTTCCTAGATTTAAGTAATAATGAAGCAAAAATGATAAAATCGCACTGCTACAATTAACCACTTACTTGGATATTCCTTACCATAGTTTCCCACATTAAGCTGAAATCCTAGTCTATGTTCTTCAGTTTCCCTTCAGCTTCACGTTCAGTGAAGTAGGTTTTGACTTCAGGACCAATTACAGGAGGTGGTTCAGAACTCCTCCTGCAGTATAGCATTCAGCCTTGTATGCATAAGCTCATTACCTAAGTAAATTAAAGACAAATTTATAGTATTAGTAACTGTTACCACACATCTGTTTCACCTGCTGACATCATTCGCCTATCTTTCCCTTGGCATTTTCAGAACAACCATGTAACCACAGAATCACAGAATTGTAGTGTTTGGAAGAGACCTCTGGAGATCACTGAGTCCAAACCCCCATTTAACCAGCATGTCCTTTATTATAATATTTAAATATTCAGAATTTGAATGTTTGGATTCTTATTAGCAGAGAACTTCACCTTGAAGAAAAATGTGGATTTAAAATCTCAAAGGAAGAAATAGGGCTTAGCCCTCTCAGTATACTGCATATAAAATGCATTAGGACAGTTCTCACGTAATGCTTCTTCTAGAGTGCCATGTAGCTTGCAGCATGTTCAAATGATCCTTTTTCTTTTCTATTATTTTCTATTTGTTCCTTGTTGCTCTATTGGAAGAGACACTTGCTATCACTGTTGTTTCATAGGTTTCATTCTACACTCAACTACTGGAACTTTGAATTCAGCACAGGAGAAAGGGAATTCAATGTGCTAGGCACAGTAAAAGTGCCAGCTCACAGCTGACAGATTCTACACTCAAAACAGAACAAATGCTGCTGCAGCGAGTTACAAAGTGCAAAATGTCTATCTGAAGTTTACTTTGTTTAGGAATAGAAATTCCTTTTTCCTTTAGAAAAAAGAAAAGTTTTCTTTTTTGTTCCATTCCCATTCATTCAAACAGAAATAAAACTAACTCAAAGATGGGATGGGGCTGGTGGAGAAGCTTGCAAAATAGATACAGATTTCAGGACTTCACAGTCTCAAGCACGAAACCTAAAAGAAAAGATTAGGAAGTATGTTCAATGTTCCCTCAACTGTTTCAGCTAGCTGTGGAACATGTTCCTTAAATTTAACAGCATCAGAAAATAGGATATTCCTTTTCATGTATTACTTATACAAACCACAGAGTAGGACACACCAGGCAAATATCTGATCCCTTCATTCTTGTTCCTGCAAAGTAATGGCGTCATAACAAACCTGGATAACTAGACTGTAGTAGGTCTGTAGCAGGTTTGAGATTACCATTCTGGGTATTTGAAAGAAATAAGAAGTAATGGAGTGAGGAGAGAAGGGCTTACAGGCCCCTTCCTTCCTTATCGAAACACATGGAGAAGGAAGCAAAGGAGAAGTATTTCAATGCTCTGCTAGGTACTAGTGAGGTTAGACCCTTGCTCAGCCAGAAAAAGCAAGAGGAGTCACCACTTCTTAGTGAAAGAACACTGCTACTGATGCATCCCTTTCATTCTGCACCAGAACAGAGGTCTTAACTGAAAATAAAGAGAGCTTTCGCTGTACCATTTCCATTATATATACCAAATAGCAAATAACAGACCATTTCAGTACTGTCAAGTTTCATACGACACGGAGTTTCTAACTGTCTTAAACATATGCATAGACTTCAAATTTCCTAAATAAAAATCAGAACACTTCCTGAACTTCACTGTTACATGTTACAGCTTGAATGTTTAAAATCGGTGAGTGCAAAGCTTAAAAAGCAAGCAAACATTTCTAAGATATGACTGGTATTCTTGGTCATTCTCACTTTGCTTCACTTCATCCAACATTTCTTCCCCTTTCTTTTTCCCTCTTCTGCAATAATATAAAAGTTCTGAAGAAACAGACATCAAATTACACCTCTCCTGAAAGTGAATCCCAATGCCTACAAACACTTACATCTTTTTGAAAGGAAACAATTTCAGTTCCGTTTTTATTTACAGATATCCCTGAGAGCACACAATCTTTGACTGAAAACAGGAAGATGCCTGCTCCATTGCACTGAAATGAATGCAGTGCAGCATCCAAGGCAGCTTCAGTTAAAATCCGAGCTGTTGCAACTTAATGACTAGATAAATTAGTCTGAGCTGAGGTTCAGACTGTGGTATCGAGATTACTCACAGCATCACAGTTATCCAGCTTAAAACTAGCTCTGGAATCCTTGCAGTACCTTGCAGTCAACTTTCTGACCACAGCATAGGCAATCCCTTCTAGACATACAAAGAATTTCTTATTACAGTGGTTTAGGGAAATAGACTACTAACCAGCCCCTTATGTTTTACAGATTGCTACAATGTGCAAAAGTCATGCAAAAATGACTTTTGGTGGTGATCCACGTGGGTTGGCATACCTCAAGTTTTATTTGAATCTTGGGTTCTACTGAACCTAACACCTGAAAAACAGTATAATAAAAACTGCAGGATTTTATCTATTTTTCTTCACACATGTGCAAAGCTACCTATTTCATGTGATTTAAACAGCAAAACCACTCATCAGCCCAGGTCATTCAAAAGGTCTTTAAGAATCAGACCACGTTTATGAAATAGCTTTACTAAGCTGAGACCATAATGAAATCAGAATGAAGTATATATGGTTTTGTGGTTTAATTGTGAATATTTTGTGTAGTTCTAGTTACTACCAACTAATGGTGCAGGATAACATTTCATTTTACATAAGCCAGATTCTGTAGAGATAGGAAGAGACAAATGCTCAAAGAACTTCTCTTAAAAGCAGACCAGATTGCAATTGTAACACAGACTTCTCAGCCAATCTTTGTATCAAATTGAACCAGGGAATGTCTGCTTGGTATAAAAATATAACTGGCGTAAAAAAAAGTGTACATTCAAGTTTGGCATATGTCTACACAAAACATACTGCTTGTTCAGCTGATCACTGAAAATACAAGAAGCAAACATTTCCATAGTTATCTCACATAGTGTCTCTTGAATAGACTGCCCAAAGACTAGTCTTCAGGATGGGCTGAAAATCAGATAACAAAATGTTGGGTTGCAAATACAGAATGGGTAGAGAACCAGCAGACAAATCTGCGCACAACTGCTTACCTGAATAAAGCAAGACCACTAGGAAAAAAAACTTCTCACATCTTTTGAATCGTAGTAAATTTCAGTGGGATTGACCTTCTTAGGAAAAATAACGGCAAAGTGTCCTTCCCCAGACTTTTTCCTGTTCCTGCATAAATTAAGCATTCTCACAAGTAGCAATTCTTTGCAATACTGAGACAGCAGTAACCTGCAGTTTAATGGATCTGGAAATGAAGAAAGAAAATCCTTGTACACTTCTCAAGGAATACATTTCTTTTCTCTCTGGATTGATTTCAGTAGGTTTTTACAAAATTGCTGGTATCTGCCTTGAGCTGAGAGAAAGCACCCATCCTTAAGATGATGAGAAAAGAAAGTAGCGAGCTTTGTATAAATGATAAACCATAAACCAATTGCCTAATTTCAACCAAAAGCAGTCCCCTACTTAACAGGCTCCTGTAAGTTTAACATAATATTGCCATCAGAAGAGTCAACGAATGGTTAAAGTAGGACCTCTGGAGTCATCTGGTGCACTTCTCTTGCTTTAGCAGAGGCACCCAGAGCAAGTTGCCTCGGACCACATCCAGGCTGTTTTTGAACATCTCCAAGAAGGGAGACTCCAAGGAGGGAGGACTGGTCAACCTGTGCCAGTGCTCTCATCTGCACCATGAAAAAGTGTTTCCTGATGTTCAGATAGATCCTTATGTTCCAGATTGTGACCGTTGCCTCTAGGGGGTCACCAGTCACCACAGCACTGAGCTTGTTTCCATCTTCCATGTAGCATCTTTCAGATGTTTACATACATTGATAAGATATCTCTCTGCCAACCATTCTCTTTATGATAAGCAGTCTCTTATTTACCAACTCCGTGTCTTTACATTTTGGCTGTTTTGCTAAGGATGCAGCAATACAAGATGTTTAATGAGATACCACCTGGAGTTAGCTCTGTAAAAACAATGCAAATGCAACTTTTGAATAACCTGACTCAGCCAACATTATATTTTATCTCCAAAAGAAGCTGATGTCTTCTCTTGATCTTTCAGTTCTTTCATTTCACATGGCTCCCACAGTCGGAAGCTCTAACTCTACCTTGCAAACTATGGTAAAGCATGTGGGAATGTTTAAAAGTTACCTTTCTCGGTCTGCTTTGCTAGAAGTGAGCTGTCTCTGACTGATAAGGGGCAGAGTGGAAAGCAGTAAACCGTAACCTCTTAAAATCACCCCATCAGGAGCTGCTAGAGGTCAGGAATCACAGCCCTGCTACTACTAAAGCCCTTCATTGTGAACCGATTTAGTGGTTGCTCTGTTTTGCCTACCGAGTCACTGTTCTATATTTAACTCGACTATAAAACACTCTGAGGTACTTCAAGTATGGTAGGCTCCATGCAAAATTAAATTCTACCTTAAATCTTCCTGGAAAAGCACCTCTCTCTCCAGTTCTTGGAGTACTGATTTTCCTCTCACTGCTCAAATTGTCCCATAGGCAAATATATTTTAATGGTTCAGAAGAGAGCCCTGCGGTTCCTTCCCTTGCACTGAGGATTTGACTGTGCTGCTTACTTTGACATGTTTGGTCTCCACCTGCATTTCACATAGTTACGCTGTTCAGCTGCAGCAAATTACTCGGCCGCCAGTCAAAACCCCAAAGAAATGAAGTTATGGTTTGGCATCCAGATAAGTGGTGAACATTAAAAAAAACTGTGACAGTGTGCAGAAACAGTATCCTTTCAACCAGCTATAGTAAAAAAGAAACCAGCATTGAAAATATCCTGAAATATTCTGGACTGACAATCACATCTGTCCAATAAAATATTTGTCTTTTTGCCCGAAATAGCCTCTAAAATAGCTGAAGAATAAGAGCTGCTTTTATACTTAGTAGATGGAAACCAAACTGAATCTACTTGATGAGACCAGTCCAGGGACGACAGCGGACAACAGGAGGCCATTAATTGCCTGGACTTCAACTTAATTGCTTGATTGCTTGCATGACTCTCATTTCTATTTGTGCTGTAACATCGTTAACAGTCCTTCTCCTGTCCCTGCCCAGCATCCTTGCAATTTTTTTTTAATAGAATCACAGAATCACCAAGGCTGGAAAAGACCTCTAAGATCATCCAGCCCAACCATCCACCT